AGTGTGTATATAAAATTTGTAAATAAGGCTATATTATATAAGTATATCTTTTCCGCAACAATTCAAAGAAATTGCAAAATAAAAATTTTTAGAAAACATACACCCGTAAGTTATGCAAAATTATTAAGAAAATCTTCGAATTTACAAATATTTTCCCAGGCATAAATAATTAAAATAAGTTTTGTTACGTATACATATGTAGTTTTAAGTATATATATTAAATACTTGGAAATCATCTTTTTCGTATAACTAAAAAAAATCATCTATTTCGCATTTACCTAATGCTAAAAAAATTCATTATATCATGTATTATAAATTTTGAAAATAAATAAATGTTAAAATAGAATCTATTTAAATATTTTAAAAATTTTTACTATGTATACTCAATTGTATACATAAATTTAGGAAGTTATTCAAAAAGGAAGTTATATAATATATTATAGATCTGGACCAGTTCTTGTATAAACACGCTTGTGATTTCTTGGAGTTTCTTAGGAAAATAACCGTATAAATGGGGAGGTTAAACGTCTTGGAGTAGTTTTGGAGGGTTAAAAAAAATTCTATCTCATATTTTGTCGAATATCTATTCCAGATTTGGAGTTGCTGAAGTTACAATAATGATTCTTTTTTTCTCGAAACGCTACTTGATCGTCTACAATTTTGATATATAACGCATAACGTCTTTTTTACAAAATCAGTTTATCAGTTTGACAGCACGTCTTTAACCATTTAAACTAACACCCTACAAACAATTTTTTTCCTACAAAACACTCGAAGAAATCAACTCCCCAAAAACTTTAACAGTAGTTACATATCATCCTGTATAATCTATATAAAATTTTCTAATAACTCCAAAGTCATACACTTGTCTAATTACTGTATATAATAATAAATAATGAAGTTATTAATAAATTGTGTAAACGTAAAGCATTATACTTTATTATATTCTTATTAAAATTAGCAATTAATAATGCATAAAGATTATATTTCATTTTCTTTATATAAAAATATAAAATAAACTTTATTTAATCCAAACTTTTTGAAAAAGTCATTAGAAATTCCAACAGAAAATAAATAATTTTTTTTTTATATGCTTGCAAATCCTATATAAATTTCATAGATTTTTTCTTTTTCTTCGTTTTTGTTTTGTTACATAAATTTACGTAATAATAATGGGGTAATACTAAGAAAACATCACAAAAAAAATGACAAAAAAAAATAATATTTAATACGTAAAAATTCAATGGAAAATTTAAGAGCATGTTTTGCACAAAAAAAAAGGATCAAACACAGAGGTCAAGGATAATTCTTTATTTTCAGTATTTTCTGCATTTAAAAAAAAAATCCTTTTTTTTTTTTAGTTTTACTGCTTATCCTCATAAAATACGAGGAAAATTGAGATAATCACAAATTTTCTTTCTTACATAATATACAAATACATATTCACATATATATGTATGTAATTTATACATTCAACATATTTAATATCTATAATATGCAAAAAATAATAAAAATGATGTTGTAAAAAAAAATTGATGCATTCTAAAACTTTATTATCCTTTTAAAAGTCTTAGTCAATTCATATTGAATAAATCGTTAGTCATTTGCATACTTTTTTTTTTATAGAAAAATTTTTATTATTTCATTTGAAAAATGAAGTGTTTACCATAGAGGTTCCTTTATTAGGGTTTTTGTGGAGGAAATGTGATTATCATTTAAGAGGTACATAAATATATTATGTAAAGAATGTTGCTGATAAAAAAAAATATTAGATAAGTTTGTTATTTAATTATAAGAATAAAACTAATTTAAAACTAATTTGAGATTCCAAAAGAACAATTGTAATAAACTATATACGTACGTGTACTATATATAATTTTGTGCAACTAGAAAAAATTTGTGGTTTCTATAGATTCCAACAATTTTCCTATTTTCTACACATACTTTGTTATTATATAAACAACATTATATTAAGACATAATATTATTCTTATGTTGTGCACAATAAAGCTGAAACGAGTTAAACAAAAAAAATCATTATGTATGGGTCTTATTTGGTAATGAAGTCAGCCCTGAAATTACTGCACAAAAATTTTAATTTCTCAATCACTGTATACAAAATAATGAACGCTAAAGCTGCAATTTTTTTTAATTAACTTTAAGACTTACACATATTGTAGGAACCACAGAAATCATAAAAAATAATTAAAACTCAATTTAATACATTCTAAACTTTAGCTTAATATAAAGTTTAGGACCCCGATCATACCTTTAATTAAAATCGTGATTCAGCAAAAAAATTTTTTTAAGGCTCTCAATCAAAATAAATTTTCAAACGTGTCGTTTTTAGATCCCATATTTACTAAACAATTAAAGTTGCATTTTATGTTTTAAGAACACAAATTTGAACTTAATAAAAAGTAAACCTTCCGAAAATTTCTTCCCTGCTCATTATTTATCATTAATTTGAATTTAGCATCTAGCATAATGGAAATTTAATAGTCAACTTCCCTTATACACCCAAAAAAATATTTATTGTTCAGAAAGGTTTCAACTTATTCTAAAAGCCACAATTTGTCCACAATAAGTTATATAATAGAAAACTTGATAATTTCTAAAAAAAAAATTATACTTTTCTATTTTTTTACTATAAATTGCAGAAAATTTCTTTTACTTCCAGCAACCCAGTATAATTTACTATATTTTCTTTCATCGTCAATCAAAATAATTGCAAAATAAATTCTTGAATGATTTAAAATCTTGAAAAAGAATTTGGCAGTAAAATTTTAGTGTATTTTTATTTTTATTGAATTTCAGAGTTTTTCATTAAAATGAGAAATAAATATCATTCTAAGTACTTATTGTTCTGTTACCAATATGATTTTGTGTAGAATTTGCGTTTATATCGCAAATTATTTTAATAATCGTTTAATTTTTCTTTTTTTCTCCGTAATTAATAATAATTGATTTTGATTGAATTGTTGAAATCAATTTAATTAAATTTATTGAATTTTTTATGTTATCTATACATTTAGTTATACTGAGTAAAAAATTTTCAAACGATATTTTAAAGAATTGCAGTTCAATTTGTAATAACGCTGCAAAATATATTACATACACATTCTAATAAAGCGTATTTACCCAATAAGTCAGTCAAAGCCCAATAATACATTGGCACTAGTCCCAAAAAAATGTTCATGTTATTGTAAAATTATAAATATTTTCGATCCCAAAATAAATTTAACGGGATTGAGTATTCGGAAAAAACCCATTATATTTTCAAGAATAATTAAAAATTTATTCAAGTCCGGTGTGGAGTATGCGGAATCTTCAAAACTTATATATGAACTAATTTAGTAGTATTGCACCAAGACTACACATTTCAATTAAACGATTTCAAAATATTTTCTTATATTAATATCAGAATGTTGGCAAGATCAACTAAATTCATCCTCATTTTATATAGTAACAAATAAAAACTAAATATTAGCAAAAAAGAAAAAACAAAACTGTTCGCTTGAAAGAAAAATATTAAAGACATAAAGTAGGTAATCAGTTTTATTTATTTGTTCTTAATAAGTATAAACGTAACAACATAAATAATTAAATATAAATATCATTGTATTTGTAATGCATTTATGTGGAAATATTATAATATAGAATTCCAAATAGAATATACGCAATATACAATTGTTTTCAATTATTTATCATCTTTAAATGCTGGTTTATATGTATGTATGTAAGATATAGATATAATTATTAGCAGGTACTACCATCCTGTATTACTTCGTAGTATAGAATAATAAGCAAAATACTTATTTCTCTCTATATATATACTATATAATTATCAATAAATTATTTTAAATAAAATTAATTACATTGGAAAATTAAGCATACAAGTAAAGTACACAAAATCAACTCTTATAGCATATACAAGCTTATTTTTTGCTTTTATTTCCACCCTTTCTTAATTTGATTTTATTGTGATGTATGTTATATAAAATAAAAAAAAATAATTTATGAGTAAATCATTTAAACTGGAATTCGATTCTTGATATTGTCAACATTTCAATAATATTACAGTAACTATACACTAATATTTAATCAAAAAATATTTATGTATTTTGCTATACATAAGTTTTTTTTTTATGAAATTGAAATGAACTAGGGGTTTTGAATATTTTATATTTTGGTAGGAATTTTGGTAATTATAATTTAATTTTAAAAATTCCTACGTTTATTAATTTATTGAGTAAATACCACCTAATTTATTTAAAAAATTTTAAAATAAGAAGCAGATATTAACAGATCTGTTATACATAGCATGATGTTATATTTTAAATTTTATGAATCTCACAACTTACAATCCCTACATTAACGTACATTTTTACCAAAAAAATAATCAAATATTGAATTCTACTCAATTAAATTTCAAAAATATTTTTGAGATAAAAAAAAATATTAAATTTTATAATATTTGTAAATTAGTCAAGAAAAAAGAACTAAACCGCATCAAATAATATGTATGCCATTTCATTAATAGAATTTATTCTTATTAGAATTGCAATATTATTTACAATTATTGATTTTAAATCTTCAGAACATCCCTTTATAATACAACCATAAATTTCATTGATATACTATAACAAAATTTGAAAAAAAAAATATTGCATAATATTTTTTTTATCAATATACAATTTAATATAATATAAAAGAATTTATAATAATTTATGCTTAATAATAATATAGATAGATTAGCTTATTAGAGGACATCTCATACTGTACAAAGAATATTTCTTGTATAAATAATCTTCTACACATACAATAAATGAATAATATAAATTTATTATGAAAAATAATATACTATAATATAGAAATAATGGTAAAAGAAAAAAAAAAAAAGAAGAATGATACACAAAAATAAAATACTTAATAATAAAAATAAATTAGTTCGGAAAAAAATTGAAAACAATCAAAAATAAATAACAAGTTTCCAATTACCTGATTTATATTTCGTATTATTTGATTCGATTTCTTCTTATACAATAATTGAACTACCATAGTAACTAAATATTTTCTCTTTCTTCTCAAATAACTATTGATGAATGTATCATAGTTATATTATTATAAAATATATATATGTATTTATATTAGTATGTAAATATATTATAGTTCGATATCACTATATTTATGACATTATTAAAATTTATATATACATATATATATATATTTTTAAATTTTTTTTATTTTACAAAATACTTTAATATGTGGGTATTAAAACATTTAAGAAGCGATTAGATTTTTAATTATTTTTATTTATTTTCATTTTTTCTTTAAGCTGTCCTCTAAAGTTTTTCTAAATGTTTAAGAATTTAAAAAATTAAATTTAATAAATATGTTATAATAGAAAAAGAAAATATTATTAAATATAATCTAAATAATAATAAGAAAATTTTAAAAATAACTACGATAAAACCACAATTTGACTTAAAACAGAAAAATGTAAAATTAAAATCAAATTATTATGTTATATTATACATATATATTTATATATAAAATATATATGTATAAACTGATATAATATTAAATACATATAATATAATATGTTTTATATTTTATAAGAAAAACCACATTATTTTAAAACCACTTCATTTTATATATAAGTAATATCAAATTATTTATCAATTTTGTATCAATTGAAATCAATTATATTATATTTGTACATATGTATGTATATAGATATATATAAATATTCTTAGGTGTGAAATACGATAATTTTATGAAATTTTCTTTTTTTATTAAAAATAACTTTATTTTACGAGTATAAGTAGTATTATTGTCTTATATATATTATATTATTTATTATTTACATCATTTTAAATAAACATTAAACATAATTATGTAAAATTTTTTATATTATAGATTACATTCATATACCTATATATGTTTTGTTTTTTGTACTTATACTTAATACATATGTATATAATTTACCAACTTAATTAGAATTAATTTTTTTTTAAATTATTACATTATTTTCTTAAAACAACATTTTTATTTTTTAACTCTGTAAATATCAGAATAAGTATGTGTAAATTTGTAGAATTCTTAAGAAAAACAAAAAAAAAAATTATACCACATGGTGTAACAAGAGAGTTCATTAAAATGATTACAAAATCAAGGTTCAATGAAATATTCTTATAAATATGAAAATAACTAGTAAATATAAAATAAAAAATATACAAAATAAAATAAAAAACAAGTTATACGAAAAATAAAAAATACACAATACAAAATAAACAAAAAAAAAACAAATTTTTTATATTTAATATTTTTTTTTTACATTATATGTACTTTTATTTTTTCCATTTAATTTTATTTCTTTTATATATTTTATTATTATTATTATATCAATTCAATTCACACTTCTTCATCACAATAATGTGAAAAAATTAAATAATAAAATCATACATTTATATAAATACATATATATTAATACTAATAAATTTATAATATACTTTTAATATATCTATATAAAATATATATACATATATATATTTTGTTTTTTAATAGTACGCGACGCTCATGCAATTTTTTGAAAATAAAATTTTTAATTGTGTTTTTATTTCCCGCAATATTTTTTATTGCTATAATAACGTCATCACAGTACGAGCATTGAACGGTAACTGAAAATAAAAATTTTTCTTTTTTAACTTAAAATCTCAAAAATGAAAAATATAAAAATGTATTTTTTTTGTTTTTTTTTTTTGACTTCTACTAGAATATTGACTACCGCTGCTTCCTTGCTTGCTTCAGTTTTTTTTTGCTTTATTTTTTTTTTTTTTTGCTGTTTTGAACGTACAAAAAAAATTGACTAGAGCTGGCTGTAGTTCTGTACATATTATAGGGTATTTTGTTCTGTTTTGTTATTGTTATCTAGGTATTCCTATAAAAAGTAAAACAAAAATACAATACTGCATGGCAGAAAGGTATATAATATTATGAAAAATTGAGAAGAGGTGCCGATAAATAAACAAAACAAAGGTATCACTATGTAAAAAATTGAAATGTAGTAAAAATTTTGATATCGAAATTTTGATTAATATTAAACTGAATGAATATGTTCAGTTTTTATGAAACAATATTACAAATTTAAGGTACCATATAAAATGTAAAAGATAAAAGAAAAAACGGTAATATAATCAAAACTATTAACGATTAAATAGACAATTGGATAATAGATACTTATGTACATATATGTATTGGAAAATAATGGTAAACATTCTTTTTGAAAAATTAAATGTAAACAAGAGTTCGATTTTTCGATTACTATATTAAACTGTAGAAAACATATCCCACAAATATTTTTATTAAAATATATTTAAATTCTAAATAGCTTTAAGTATCATATTACACTTACGAGTATATAGTTTTTAAATTGAATCCAAAAGTTCTAAGTTCAACAGTTCATTTCAAAAATTAGAAGACGTGTTGCTGAAATATGAGACGAAAAGCAGCTTCATAGATTTTATATAAAATTTGAACTCTGGTTGAAATAAAAGTAACAAACAGTTTTAAAAACGAAAATATTCTGGCTGTTTACTTCATAAAAATAAAATATATTAAATAATGAAAACCTATAGAAATAAAAATTAATTTATAAAAATTAGTTTATTTAATATCGGCTAAAATAGTCATTTCCTCGCAGTAACTCAATTTTGTAAATTTTATTTTGAAAAGTTAGGGTACATAATGCGAAAAATAATTTATTTTGAAAACTACATTAAAAGAATATAAAATAATAGCTAATTTTTTTTTTCTTTTCAAAAAAAAATTGAAATACCATTATATTTATAATTAAATTAAACTTGATTAATATTCACAAGTAATTAAAATTGACCAAATAATTTAAGTTATTTTATGTCATGAATATTTTATATCAAACTCTTAACAAATTATTTATTTATTGGGAATCTTTTTTTTTTCTTCTAACACTATCATCACGTGGCAATTTGAAAAGAAGTATCAATTATGATACGTAAATAATATGTACCTATATAAGAAAAATTATAATAACATACATAACAATATACTGGATTCGTGATGTTAAAGATTAAAGTAAAAAATAAAAAAAACAAAATTATCGTGTACATTATATACGATGAGTGTCCAGCCAGCCTGATCCATACTTTTTTTCATTCTTTTGTTTATTTCCTTTAAAGAAAAAATACCAGAATGTGGTTATTGACAAAAAAAAAAACAAAAATTTAAGAGAAGAAAACTGGTTATATCATAAATGTAGGAATGAACATTCACTATGTTAGTTTATTAATGCTCAAAAAAATCTGTATAGGGGAGAATAATTTTCATTAAAGAGCACAAAAAATAATATTATTGTAAAAGCATGTGACCCTCAAATTTCAGTTATAGACGTTCATAAAAAATACTTACATATATAATTTTATAGATCTATATACGTATATTGTAAATTACAATATTTTAAAAAAAAAATTTAAAGGGAATTTCTAGCTCTTTCATTCACACTAAATTCAAAATTTAGTTCAAAAACAATTTATAAATTTTTCTTAAAACAATCAATTAAATTATTAATATAATGTACTTGCAAAATGATATATGTAAAATAAATATCTTGTGTTACCAAAATGAAATAGTTTAAATGGTTCCAACTTTCAAAATTAGTATCAATCTTTTCGTTACTACTCTAAAAAAACTTTTAATATACAAACAAATAATATTGCTCAATAATATTTTGCATATTCAAGAGAAAATTCAATAAAAAACGCAACTCTCTTCAGTAGTTCAAAATATTTTTATGAATGAGTTTTGAACGTAAATGTATAGTATTTTATTTACATGTTATTAAAATAAAATCTCTCAGAAATTGCGCACTTCAAGTGTTTATGAATTAAATGAGAGTTCTACAAAATATTTTCCCAATTAGCAAAAAATGGATTGTTTGTCAGTAACAAAAATTCGGTTATATGTTAGCATAACGAAGAAACGAATTGCGAATTTATGCTATCAATTTTTTGTAAGACATAAGTTATAATTTTTTTTATGATGTTAAAAGTGTAAAATAGTGTAAAAATAAATATTACTTAAAACATTTCATCTGCTCCAGGAGTAAAAGGCCTTCTTCGACAACACGAAAGTAATTTTTTAGATACAAATATTAAAGAAGGCTAATGTTAGCTGTCAACCAATTATTGATAGCTGAAAATAAAACTAAATTTTTCCCAATATTCGAACAAATACTAACTGTTTATATAATAAATAAATATACATAAGTTCAGACGGTTGGTTTATAAAACGTACTTTACTTTTAAATTAAGTTAAAAATTAAGTTCAACAACAATTTATAAAATTTGCTTAAAACAATAAATTAAATTTTTGGTATAATCTGCAAAATTGTAGATGCCGTTGCAAATAATATTCAAAATAGATTCAAAAATAAAAAAATCAAGGTTTTGTAATATTCAAACTGCACTTCACATTTTGGAATGTAATTTTTTGATAGCATATTCAAAACATAATTACCCGATGAACTTAAAATTATATATATAATCAAGTTTAAACTGAGTTACCATAAACACCTTAACATGAATTTAATATTCTCAATTTCGTTTTTATTTGACTAATTTAAATTACAACTTTATAATTGTTAAAATATTTTGATAAGGTTTGGGCATATTGAAACACTAAGATGAAAACTGCAAGCAATTCCGAATAAATTCTTAAAAAACTTTGAGGAAAAAGAACAAGTGCACCAATTTGGAGTTAAATATTTTAGAAACTTTTTATTCTTGATAAAATTTTTTCATATCATTATAAATTTTTAAACTGATTGATTTTTTTTATTATTTTAATTATTAATATTCTTATTAATAACTAAAATTATATTAGTACAATAAAGTTGTCAAAAATATATGGCACTACTTATGCATATATGTATGTTATAACTCGATTGCTATATATTAAAACTTTATTAAAATTAAAAAGCTAATCATGGAATGTACTTTTGATTAAGTATTTTCATCTCGAAGCTCTGCGACGACTCCGTCACTCGTTACTGAGACAAAACCATACATATTTTTCACTTTAACACAAATTTTTAATATCTCTAATCCTTTATACTGTACATGTAAATATATGTATGTCAAAACATCCTAATTTCAAAACTACATCCAATTTCCAAGCCGAATAATTTCATTTAAATTTTCATCTAAAAAAATATTACCACCAATAGTACTTTTTATTTACTTTTCAGTAAATAGTACTTTTATTACAAATGTTGCGTAACGGTAGTGAAAATAGTGTTAAAATTGTAAATTTATTATAAAATTCACAGTAACGTTTGTTAACCAACAACTCCCACCACACTACTTCCTTAACTTAAGCTTTTCTTAATTTAAGCTTTCCCGTGCTTTATGCTTGCACTATTGAATTTAAATTTAATTCTTTTCAAAAAACCGCTTATTTTTTCTCTAAGTGGTTACAGATTTCTTTAATTTAAAAATTATTGTAATTTAAAATTATTGATATTCTTTGAGTTATAAATATTTGAAAATTTTTTGTAATTTTATATTAAAAAATGTTACCTGATTTTGTATCAAATAATGAGAATGCAAAGTAATAACAACATCTACTTATTTTTTTTAATATTCTTCACTAACTCTAAAATATTATGTACCTATATTATTAAATTTGGTTTTTTTTGGTTTAATAATATGATATTGAGCGGTGTTTCAGAATCTTTTTGAAAAAAAAATTAACAATAAATCAATATTACTTCATGAATTCCTGAAAATAAATTTGTAACAAAAGTAAACCATAAAGAGAAAATCTTTGATTACATACATATGTACATATGTATTATATTAATACTTACTTTTTATAAAAGGGTTTACAAATTAATGAATTGAAACAAATAGACTTTAATTACAAAAATTAAAAATAAGGAGTCTTTTTTTTTTTATTAAATCACAGTGTTAACAAATTTCTTTTACAAAACAATAAAAAATAAATAAGGACAAAAAATTAAAACAAGAAAAAATGGAAATTATACTTGGCCATCATTATTGATAAAAGTTAATTTTAAATTCTATTTACGTATTTTTAAGTTTAAAAAATATATTTATTTTTATATTTTAGAGATTTTTAATTTTGTTTTTCTTATTTAAATATAGCAAAGGGAATTTTAAATTTTTAAATTTAATTAATGAAATTGAAATTTTATTTTTTTTTTTTTTTGATGACCATAATACAAATAACAAAAATCAAAAAAATATTTATATATCCATGTTCCATTTGAAATTTGTATTTTTTGTTTGATATTATTTCTTATTTAATAAATGCTTATATATTTTATAAATTTTAAATATATGTAAATGCTTATATATTTTTCTTTTATAGTAGTTTAGCATTGCATTTGCTTTGTAATCAATAATGTTAATAAAAAAAAATTAATTTATTTTAATTTAAAATGGAACAAGGTTTTATGTTTATATGATATACAATTAAAAAAAAAAAGTGTTTTTATTGTGTTTTCAAATATTATATAATAACAGAAATAAATAAAACTATTAAATACTAATATAAATTTTTATACTTATCCAAATAAAAATCCGTAATATTGTTGTTTTTTTTTTTTTTAAATTTAACTTTCGTATTTTCGGAGTTTTTCATAAGTAAATTTTTAATATGTTAATGTTATATTTTGTACCATCATTTTAACTTAAAAAAATAAATGTATTGCAAAAAAACTTTCATTCTTTATTAATACTATCGACTATTAATTATGCTATAAATGCATTTCTGTCTGTTTTTATAAATTTCATTTAAGACTAAAAAAAATTTTTTTAATAGCTTTATCACATTCATTTTATCACAGTTTATTTTATATATTTTTCTTCATACTGGAAGAAAAAAAAAAATAATTTAAAAACGTTTTCAACTAAAATTAATTAATTTTTTTTTTGTATTCGATGCGTCTTTCAAACATACTTTCGTTTTCTTTTTCTTTATTTTTATATGTTTTCTTCATAAATAAATATGATAAGATATATGTATATATATATATTTTGTTTATAATTTCTTTTTATATTCTTAATATTTTCTATATTACTGTGTAATATTTTTTTAATTGTTGATATTTAATTCTTATACTTATATTATTTTCTTTTTTTTTCCTCTTTTTTTTAACGTTCGAAAGTTGAATCATCTTTAAAGTCATGTCATCAGTGCAGTTTTGAAGATTTTCTTTTATATTTTATACTTTGAATTTTGCATCGAAAACTATTTATAATTATTCTTTTATTTCATGTACTTTTGATATTCTTGTAAAAAAGAAATTTATTCTTATAATTTAATATTCGTTATATGTAATTATTTTAAAAATTTTATCTCTTTTTAAATATCACATTGAAATATCAGTTTTATTATTAGCATCCTTTTTTCCTTTTTGTCTTTATTTTTTATATTTGTACATAATATATTAAAATTTGTATGTACGTTATTTTAATTTACGGTATTGAATGTTTTAAAGATTATTAATGGTTAAGTTGCTTAAATTCTTTCTCTCTGTTGCAATCAATTCGATATATCTCGATCAATTTTTATCTGCAAAGAAATCTTTTGATTAAAATAAAATATTTGGTATAAAACTTGAGTATCATTTTCATCTAAATAATAATAGCTTATATAATAAATTTTTGCAGTTTTTCTAAAAACTTTATATATATTACCTCTTATATTTTTTACTTGTTTTATTTATCCATTTATATTTATTAAATTTTAGCATCATTTTTATATACTTATTTTAAGAAACGGTAACGAGTTTTAATAAGATCATAAATTTCTTTAATTTTTGTTTCTATAAAATTTTTTTGTTTCAGTTATTATATCAATTTAATATTTGTTTTTTCAATTATGTACGTTATTTTTGTTTAATATTTGGCTTTGTATTTTTATTTTGAAATTATTATATATAGCTTAATTTTGTTAAGCAGTAATTTTAATTACGAATTTGGAAAGCGAAAATAATAATTTTAAAGTACAATTCTTAAACAAAACCTAAAATGGCATCTACATAATATATTTGTTATTTAAAATAATTATTGGAAACAATAAAATGTATTCCTACTCAAACCAATGTGATTAGTTGTAATTCTTTTTTCTAGTTGTGTTCAATGCCGATTCGCAACAATTAAGAATATTGCGTTGCTTTAATATAAAAATATTTAAATTTTAGTGGCAATTATTACTGAAACATAATAAAGTAATTTTTTTTCGATTTCGCTTAATTTTTGTTCAATTTCGTTTAATCTTTGTTCAATTTCCTTTAATAATCTTTTTTTAATATTAATTTGATTAAATTTTTATTAACCAGATTCGGATTTATATTAAAAACAAAATTATGGCAAAAAAAAAAATCGGTATAAAATTTAATTTGTTTTTTTTTATAAATCTTTAACTTTGTATACTTTTATCTGTTAAAAAAGAACTAAAAAAACTCGTATTTTTCTATGTTAAAATGAGTTGTTAAATCTATAATTTATCTTTAATTTGCCAAAATTTAAAAATTTTATACAATTTGTTTTTGCAAAGAAATTATAAAATCATCACTTTTACTTTCAATAAATCTTTGAATAAAATTCGAATTGTCTTTTTTTATTAAATTATTAATTTTTGTTTCTCATTTTTAAAATTTTTTAAATATGATAAAAATAATTGAAATTTCTTATTTAAATATTCACCTTTGATCAATACTTTATTCAACTTACGAATATGTACTTTGATATCCTGTAAAAAAATTTAAATAAAAATTAGATGAAATTTAAATTAAAATTGTGTAAAGAAGTTCTTTAAGCATTATCGAACTTTGCTAATTCAAAGAGCACTTGGTTATTTCTTGTGTTTTCCCTTTCTCTTAAGATTATTCATTTCTATAAAAAAAATATTTCTTAAATATATTTGAAAAATCAGCATTGCAGTTTTAGCATTTTTTTTTTGCAATAAGCACTCTTTAATAATATAACTTCTTTTAAAACAACTAAAACAAAAATTTATAAAAGAAAATTTAAATATTTAACGTGATAAAAATTTAATTTGGGGGAAAGTTGAGTATCTTACAGTAATTTAATTTTTGAAATTAGTTCACTTAATAAAATTGCGTAGATAACTACTTAATTAAATAATAATTTTAAATGAAAATAAGGCTCATTAAGTTCTTTAAAAATATTTTAACCATATTTTTATACCAAAAATTAAAATATATATAATTTTATAAGCTTAAAATAATAAGAAACTGCACTGTTGAAAAAATTAAATTATTTTTGCCTAAATCTCTTTTGATTAAGAAAAATTGCCATAATTACTTTAAGTAAGTCAATCTTTTAAAACAAGTAGTATTTGTTTGATTCTTAATCTTAACCTACTTCAATTATTATTTTTTATTTTAATATGTATAATTCGTGCTCTTTATTTCAATAAAGTTTATTTTATAGGGCCGATCTTTCAAATGCTTGTACATGCATATAATATACATACTGTGTTTTTTTCAGATATTTAATATCAATATAAGTCATTTTCATAGAAAATTTTAATTTTAAATATATGACACGAATGAATAAATTATGTTTTCTAGTTAATTATATTATATAATAAAATTATTTGAGAACTAAGCAAAGCCTATAAAATTTTGTAATAATAATATTTTAAATTCTAGTTGCTAATTAAATTTTGCATTGCATTTTTGTTTTCATTTTTCTTTTTTTGTATTATTTTGCATGTATTATTCTAATTACTAATTTTTCAAATTTACTTTTAACTTTAAATATTTTTTCAATTTTTTCTCTTATTGATATAAGAGAAAATATTATTAGTTTTTGCTCTTTAACTATTGTAAAAAAGTCAAAATTTGTTTATTGATATATGAGAAAATATTATTAGTTTTTGCTCTTTAACTATTGTAAAAAAGTCAAAATTTGATTCTGAAAACGTTTTTTAGCTCTGAATTCAATATTTACAAAAATTATAAAATTTAATTTCAGATCATTGAAATTAATATTTAAGAATTTATATAGAATCATCAATATATAAAAACAACTTTTATGTGATTCGATCATTTATGTTGAACTAATTTTATATTATTTTCCTATTTATTTTTCTAATTTGCATATATTTATAGATTGCGTTTGCAATAAAATTATATTTTACTAAATATCTTTTTAATTTTGATGAAAATTGAATACTTTTAAAGTTTTAATAATAAACATTATGTGTATATATTAATTTACATCTCTAAATAATTTTAAATAGCTATTTAAAATTTGGGATGAATAAAAATTGTAATAAAATAAAATATTTTTTGCTAGCAATGTTATTAAAAATGAACAATTATGTAAAGTAAATTTTATTTATGTTTATTAATCTGTCGTACTCAAGTCTTAATTCAGCGATTCGAGAAAAATATTTAAACGCTTTGAGTATGCTTTTGTGAAAATTAACTTTTTTTATCAAATAATAATTTAAATGCAAAAAAAAATAAAATAAAAAAAAACAAGTTTATAAACTACATAAATTTTAAAATAATATTTGAAGGTTTAGTTTTTTTAAGTCATAATTTTATTTGCAATAGTCAGATTTTTTTTATATCTTTTTTTTTGTTAATTTTATACGTTAATAACATAAAATATGAAATACATTATCTTTTAATAATTTATATACTATAAAATATGTTTGCTGCTAAATTGATTTTAAGCATTCTCCAATATATATTAATGTTTCCTTTTCTCCTTTTCCTTTTACTTATGGAAACTAAAGAAAATTCTATTGTAAAAATAAAATTTAAATTTGATTTAAAGATCGTATTTACAACCTTTTTACGGCATAAATATAATAAATTTTACTTATTTTTTTAATTTTTTCTTTTTTTTTTTTTGAAATTAATAATTTTAAACATGTACACTACAATCATTTAACTTTGGACTTAACCTAATGAGAAAAAAGGACTTTTTTTGTATAATTTTTGAAAAGCATTCACAAGACATAAAAAAAGGTTTGTTTTTATAAATTTAAAAACTAATACACAAACATTAATGAATTAATTAATAATTCTTTTTTTTTTTTAATCTTGTTTTACTAAAGATAAGTCTTAAAATCATTTCAAATTTCATATTCTATTTATATACTATATATATATTATGTATTTATATACATTCATATATTAATATATGTATATTTATACTTTTTTTAACTTTTAATATTTGTAAACATTTCTATAATTTTTGAACTGCGCAAATTCTTTAATATTTTATTATTTTTATAAAAAAAGAGATTTTTTATGTATTTGTTTGTTTTTTTTTTTTAATATTTATTTTGAATTTTAAAAAATATTTTTGAATTGTTGAATTGTTAACCATTGGAACAATTTATATTTTGAATATATTTTTGTTATCTATTTCTGTTTAATTAGTGATTTTTGCATTTTTTTTCCTTTCTATTTCTACATTTTGATGCATATACATTTTTTTGGATAATAAACATAAAAATAATAAAAAAAAAATTATATTCAATCAATTTTTAAAGGAGACATTCGCTTACAATGTCGAAAAATCAAATTAAATTCTCTTAATTCAATATGTTATTTGTTTTATTTTTAAAAATCTTAAGTATTTTACTAATTTTCTGTTGTTTTAACTTGCTTACTTAATTAGTATTATTTTATATTTTTAATGTTTTTCATTTTTTTAATCTTAAAATGTGGTTAACCTAGTAATACCCGCTAGCATTCGAATAACCCTGTTGATATGCCTGGGCATCTAAAAATGAGTAAAAAAAAAATAAATGGTTGATTTACATTATTCGAATTATTAAAAACCACCTAAGTAAATATTAAAAATTCAAAATGTTTCTTTAATAAATACGTGGGCTATGAATGTACACATAAACAATAAATATGTGCGCAATTAAGAACATTATTTTAAAACTGTGTATGTATATTCAACTTTACATACCATAACCACCGTATGATCTATCATCGTATGACGTGGCTGATGGTTGTGAATAGTCTGGTGGAGGTGCGCTGTAGTCTACAGTTGTACCGTAAGATTGACTATAATCTTGTGCATAACTTTGGTACCTAGTATCAGCTTGTCCATATGATGCAGCGTTTGCTCTAAGTTTCCCGAAAAGAATTTAGTTTTTTTTTAAATATGCAAAAAATACATTTTTCTTATAAATGAATATTGTTATATTTCATTACCCATAACTTTGATATTGATTTGGATCATAATCTTGTTGACCATACCCGGTTGGAGCCTGTTGTCCATATGCAGACTGACTGTATCCATTATATGCTGGAGGAGCCTGTGATGCATATGATTGCGAATATTGGTCAACATGTTGCATTTGATCGTGAGATTGATAGCTAAATATAAAACAAAGTATGCAACTCGATGAAATTTTATTTAACAACTAAATATATACCTAGGTTGTTGATATCCATGTGATTGATGATGAATTTGCTGCTGATGTTTTACAATAGGTCTGCTCGACGGCCCTTGATCATAACGTCCTCTTTTAGGTCCAGGAGGTCCAGAAGGTGCTCCTCGTTTTAATGTTGGAACGGGAGCTACTTGTGTATTTGCTGAATGTGGTGCAGGAGGCCTTGGTGGACCGCTTTGATACGAGCCACGACCTCTGGACGAAAGTCCACTCATACCACCGCCTCTTGACATACCATATGGTTTTGTTAGTACTTTGTTCGGATCACCAACTTGATTACCGCCTGCGTACCCTCCTCGACCCCTACTCATTGGCGGACCACCACGCCCGCGTGGTGCTCCTCTTGGTGGGCCTCCATTAGTTGTTGGTGCTGTTGGTGGACCTGATGAACCTCCATTTGCTGAAGTCGATGTTGCAGAAGATTGTTTGTCATCAGCTGTTGGAGTCGTAGTTGCAGTTACTTTGTAAGAATTATATTATTAAAAATATGAAAAATATACTAAACTACCTTAAAGCATCTTAATAAATTCTAGCTAGACTTACATTGTATATTATGTGCTGGTGGTCTTCCACTCCCCCTCATAGGCGGTCCACCTCCTCTTGGTGGACCACCTCTTTGAATTCCCATTCCTCTAGGGGGACCACCTCTAGGGAAACCCATTCCTCCTCTGCCACGCATCATTGGTGGTCCTCCCATTCCACCTCTCATCCCCATTGGACCTCCACGTCCCATACCTCTACCCCGACCCCTTTCGAAGCCTCCTCTACCACGATCAAAACCACCACGCCCCCTGAAACCACCACGAGGCGGTCCAGACGGTGCCCCTCCCGATGATGAAGAAGTTTGTCCTCCAGTTGAACTTTCCATTTTTATATCTTAAAACACTAATTTAGAAATTTATAACTTTGAGTTGAAACTTTTAGTACAATTACGCGTATGACTCTTCAATTAAAAATTTTTTCTTCACAATCACACTTAAACAAAATAATAATGACAATTTATCACTACTATATAACTTAATCACTATTTCTCAAAAACTTTATTTTTTACTTCTTATAAAATATATTTTCAAAATTCAAACCCCAGCCAAACTGAAAATCCTTTTTCTATTAAAATCAATACGTAAAATGGCGCCGGCATCTAAAATTGAATAAACGTCAATTAAATACTTGAGTTGTCGTCACAATATCGTGTACGTGTTTCTAGTACTGCCGTTTCAATTTATTCATATTAACGTATCGCACAGCACTTTTACCGTGGCACTTCACGCTTGAATTTTACAAATTGTGGCACTATTTTACACTTTTTATGATATTAAATAAAATTAAATAAAATTTTAGCGGAAAAGGATTGTTAACATTGTGAATATTTTAATAGCATTTTAATGTTAAATTTAATGTTAAAGTCCAAAATAAAACAAATAACGATATAAATTTTTTCCCTTTTATTCTAGTTATATTCATACTTTGGAAGGAATAAAGCCAATATCAAATCTATCATTACAAAAATAAATATTACTTTAAATAATCTTTATAAAGAATTTTACTTTAAAAAATTGTGATAATTCTTTCTTAAACTGCTCTGAGAATTCATACATCCAGCTTTTTTAAAACTTTTTTTATAAAAGGCCGAAGCGAACACATTCCGTTAACAAAAAATATTACATTCGTCAGTTCTTCAGGATTAGGGAAAGTTGAAATTTTTTTTTGATGTATAAAAAGCTGTTGTCCGGGGGACAGGATTTTAAGTGGGTGTTTGATTTTACTGTTCTTCTATTTTGCTAATTTTTTACAGTCACAGGTAATCACAACACGATAAAGTTTGAGGTTAATGAGAGGTTAACAGACTGAAAAATGGCAAATGCCAATAACGAATAAAGTTGAATGAGAAAGCAAGAGGAAAAGTATAATACGTTTGTTAATAAATTAAAAAAAAATATTAAAATAGAAAATCTTCTTACAAAAAATAAAAAATAGATATCATGTTAAAAAGATTTCCTATAGCTTCCATGAGAACACTTGTAAATTCGCCTACTTCGAATTTCTTTAAGTTACATTCTTTGAACCATTAAGAGTAGCTAATATTTAATTTGCTTCTAATGATAGTCGTATGTGTAGAACATAAGACTACATTTCACATAAAATACACCTGACGGCAAATACTGGAAATTACTCTGTCAGAATTATACTGTCAGATTTTTTAAAAATAAAATGATGGCAATTAATTTTTTGTTAGAGTTTTGAACAGCTATTAACTAATTTTGATTTCAATATGAATAAAACAAAAATTATTAAATTTTTACGTAAAACCTAGGATCTTTCATATAGTTTCAGTCTGATATGTAAACACTTATCAAATTTTGTTGTAGGTTTCGTTAACGGCACGTAAAATATTGAATTTTTAAAGATATTGCTTAAAAAAAATAACAATTCCATTCTTAATATGAAAAAACACTTGTTTTACTCACTTCCCTACATCGAAATTAACTTGAAGAAATTTATATTTGTTTGCGTCATTGATTTCGTTATAAAAAATGGGTGGTGTGTTTGTTATAACAAAGTCAAAAGATGCGGTATGCGGTAATAAACGTTATCGAATTTCCGGTGCGGAATGTAATCGTTTTTGTTTTTTAATGGATATAAAAATGAAAGAAAATATTTTTCAAGTTTAAACATCGCACTCGCTTGGTCATTAGTTCATTTTGAATAGAAATTTAAAATTTTTTTTCGCTACATTGGAATTTAAAATTCAATATCCGTTTTGATTTTGAAAGCTGTTTCAAAATATTTAAAATTGATTTGAATAGAAAAATATCATTCTGAAATATTTTTGTTTGAATATTATTAATTGAACAATAATCATCTCTGAATTAAATGAAGCAAAAGTTTTCAAGGAAAGTTAAGATGAGTTTTTACTATGACTTTGCAAGCAAGTAAAAGTATCAATAGAATCCTAAAATACCTAATGTTGTATTTTCTATGTATTTGAAGAACGTTATAGGTATTTATGTATATACATATATGAACTCGTAGATTTGAGCAAATAATTTTTAAAAAACTAGTAAATTCATTTTGTGGAATATGTATACATTATGTGTAAATTATTTTTAAATAGCTTAAAAAGTTTTTAATTTTACGTGTGTAAAAACATTCAACTACAAAGTAAACGTCTTTATCTAATTATGCGTATATACATATGCATACATACCTATATATATATATATATATATACATAAGTATTCATGCACCTATTCATACTTCCTAGTTAAAAATAAAGAGTTAAAAGTAAGTAACAGTAGAAAACAAAAATTTATTATTAAATACATACATACTTATATTCCTATGTAAATGCATTAATTAAATTCAATTTTATTTATACTACAGATTGCGCATTTAAATTTTTATTGAATCCTAAGATTTAGAGGATTAACTGCACGACCAGCTATAATTGCAACATCTACTTCCTTATCAACAATGAAAAATAAGAATGGATGATTGACAGCCACTTCAATGGGTTGATATTCTTGAGCAATGTTACCTAAATTTTGCATAAATAAAAACAAAAAATAAAGGAATTTAAATAGGTATTTTGTTTATGCTAATGCACAACATTAACTGTAAACTTTGAAAATTGTAAGCACGTATTTAGAAATTGTGATTGAAACGCGTTTCGCATGAAAGATTTCAAAATATGTGCATACATACGTGTGTAGGTATGTAGGTATTTTGCGAAAAACTTTATTTAGTAAAAACATGATTTAACTTAATTTTCTCTGAAAAATATGTATATAACTATGTAGGCATCCACATATGAACATGTAACGTATATAATCTTTATAAGGTGTAGGCTAGTATTTTTGCAAATTTCAAACCCTTACCTTTAACTTGATCAATAGGTTGCGTTTTGATATTAATATCGATAGTTTGTTCAATATGTTTTACATAAATTTCCTTATCAGTTGTCATTAATGAGAAATCGGCTCTTGATGGTTCAAAAATATCTTTCACCCCCATCTACATCAATAAAGTTTTAATAATTTCAATGTAATATCAATTTTCTGATGCACACTTACATTTTGTAAATCATTTGTTAAGTATATTTTTCCTTTCAACCGGAAATCTGGAATTATTGCATGAACCCATTTTGGTTTCATTAACTTTTTTAAAAATCTTAAACTTGGAATATTTTTTAACGATTTTATTGCTGTATCTATGTCTATATTAAAATCGGGTAAAAATATAATTAAATTATAATTTATAGAATTTAGCTCCAATTCTAATATTGTAGTTTTCTGTGAAGCTAAATATTTGTAATTTAAAACACTATTGTAAGTTTTGTAATTTGTTTGAATTGTTTCATGGTTATTAAGATAGAAAATATGATTAATTGTGTTTTTATGAGAAGTTTCTTTTGGAAATAGATAACGTGAATCTAACTCAACGCCAAAATTTCCAATGTTTGCGAATTTTACGAACGGTGTATAATGCAATGGAATTGGCAAAGATGAAATATCTTGCGTTTTTACGACATGTGTTAAAATTGCTTCATCATCATTAACAAACCTATAAGGACTAATTAATGTTGGTATATTAGATTTTTTGAAATTAAGAAAATCATTTAATAAAAATCTTTTATTTCTTATAGATTTAATCTGATCAGTAGCAATTTTTCTATTTCGAAGATTTAATCTATTAGTTTGTGTTGTATTTATTTTTCTTATATTTTCCACTTTCGGAACTGAATAAATTTGAAAATTCTGTGATGAAATATTAGTTGAGGCTGGCCAATAATCAGATATTTTTTTATTTTTTACTGAATTAAAATTTACTTTGGGGCGAACGTATGCTGCTAGCTCTGGAATTTCAGTTGCAATTTCTGTTGATGTTGTAATTTCTTCAGCAAAATTGGTTGTAACTGAAGTTTTTTCTGTTGTTGTAATAATTTCCACTTCAGTATTATTCATTAATGTTTTCACCGTTGTAATTATATCGGTTTGGTTATTTGAAAAGTTAGTTTCAGTAATAGGATTTATTGTGACAGAGGAAACATTTTGCATCGCATTTTCAGTAGTGTGATTTACTTCAAACACTGAATCATTTTTTAAAGTTATAGATGTTTCTGATATAAAAGTTTGTATTTCTGCAATTCTAAAATCTAAATCAAAGCCATAAAACTTTAAGATTGCTTCATATTCAGGTGTTATTGTAACATTTTCTTTATTTAAACATAATCCATTAAGAGGGTTATCTTGCGAAAAGAAATAAGTCTAAAATATTTCGAGTGCTTTCATTATTTTAAAAGAAATATGGAAAAAAAGAAAATAACGACTAACCCTTAATCTTCTGTGAATGTCTCGTAGACCAATTCTTGATGTGTCTTTGATTTCTGGTAATCCAAGGAAGCTTTGCAATTCAGAATAACTTCGATCGTAACTGCCCTCATATAATGCAATTAAAACACTAATAAGTGATGTTGGTGAAAAAGCAAAGTTATTGCGATTTGATATAGAATGGTGATAGATAATGCGATACGCTAAATTATTTGTGGTATCAGCAATAATTTCAGCCGGAGTAATTTTTTTTGTATAAAGATCGCTAGATATTGTTACATATGCTTGAATTGCAATAAAAATGAATGTCAATAATATAAATATGATTTTATATTTTTTAAAATATTTCATTTTTCTTAGTTCTTAAATAAAACACTAATATTTTCCGATTTTAATAATTTCCACTTAATCCCAAATTGTGATTAATAGTTGGAGCAGTTTAATAGTTAAACCAAAACTAAAAAATTTTGAAGTGAGTTCTTCTTATTTAAATGTTATATTTGATTTTTTTTTGTTTATATTTTGCCAATAAAAAAAGGTTTGTATTTAACACTAATATTTTCTTTAGTTTGTTGTTCGTTTAAATCGTTGATCCATTAAAACTTTTAATTCGGTGTTTTGAAGCAAGCAAAACAATATGCATGAGTTATAATTTAATTATTATATGCAATTTTATTATGTGCAGTAACTAAATAGTAATGGAATCCATTTATAAATGGTATGAAATGTATAGCAAGTATAAAGGCCAATTTAAAATTAATTTTGAGATTTGTACTATCACATACCAAGAGTTGTGTCACATTACCTCTATTTTTTTGATTTGGTTTCAAAATTTTATTTTTAGGCTCAAAACAAGATTCTAGAAATAAAACTACGTGCGACAGGCGAAATTTTTCAGGATTTGAGACTGCATTCTAAACCTGCATTTAAATATCTTTGCAGAAAAGGGTGTTTTTCCTAAAAATGTATTTGGCAAACTTCAAGTGCAATCAAGCCGAAAAAGCTTCAATTTCGAAGTTTCAGTTTTAAAGTGGTGATGGTGTATAGAAGTGGGTATTTGTATAAAGAAGCAAATAGGAGCCGACAGGCATCAATTTCCACATATTTCGTCGAAAAATATTTTAAGATTATTAATGACACAAACATATACATACATACCTAATATGCAAATATCAAAAGGAACACAACACAGACTATATCATATATTATAATCATAATTTATATTAATAAAAATACTTTTAGTTTACGTTTAATTTGGTAAATTATACTTTATTTTGATTTATATTCTTTCTTTCTGTTTTTTTGTTTTATGTATGTGTATACGTTATTATATATATGTATACTCATTTTTTTATAATGTATATACCTTAATATATATATATATATATTAAGGTATATACATTATTTAAAATTAAGGTATATACATTATTTGAAAATAATTTCTATATTCTTACAATTTCTTGTATGGATCAAAATTTATATATTTTAAATTTATGTAATTTTAACTTTCCAGACAAAAAAATCGTTTGGAAAAAATAATGTTTTTTCTTTTTTAAATAATTTTTTAAATAATTATGCGGCAAGTAAAGTTATATAATTAAATATAATTAAATTGAATATAAATATAAAGTAAAATAATTATATCAGTGTATATTTTAATCGTATTGTAAGAAATATTTAGTATTTTTCTTATAATGCGTCAATGTGAATTTAAAATATATTTTTAGTGTACAAGTATGTAACTTTATATAAATTGACTAACATTATGTGTAAGTTCATATATAATATATATATATATATATATATATGAATGTGTAGTCGCTTTCTTAAAGAGTTCTTGATAATTGGTATGTTTACAAACAAAACAAAATAAATAAAAATTGAAATATGTATTTTTTTGTATAATTTTAAATTTTGTTTTATTTAATTCTGTATGTATATATATATTCTCTTTATTTTATTTTATTTTAAAAATATATTATGTAATTATGGTGTATGTATTTTTCATATTTTATATTTTGAAATTTAATTTTTGTTCTCTTTTGTTTATTTTAAATTATAATAACATAATTTTTCTTGTGTTTGTTTTTTTTATTCACATTTTTTAATTTTATTTTTATATATACATATATATCTTATATATATATATATATATATATATATATATATATATATCATGTTTCTAATCCTAATTAAATCTATAAATATATCATTAATTATTGAATGTATATTTTAAATTTTAATATTAATTTTATTTATTCTTTTTTAAATTTATAAACGTTTTTGTTTTTCATTTTAAGCAATTTACTGGAACACATTTATACACAGTTTGTTTTTGATAAATTTTTTTTCTTTTTATAATTTAATATAAATATATTATATATATATACATATATATATATATGCAATTAAATTTATTGTAATTAATTAAAATATTAAATATTTATGTTCAATTAAGATATTTAATTAAATCTTTTATTTCTATTTTATTTATTTTGTTTTTTTTTTTTTTAACACACTTATAATAAAAAGTTTTGTTTTATTTTTTAATTTTTAAAATTATAAATATCATTTTTTTTTCTTTGATTTTTTTACTGTTTTTATAATAAATAAATATGTTTATTAACTTTTATTTTTTAATTATGCTTTTTTATTTTATTTTAAATATTTTCTTGTACTTTTCAAAAAGTAAGTTTATATATATATATTTTCCATATAGTTTGAAATTTGGTTTGATTTTTATTTTATTTCTGTTTCCTTTTGTTTTGGAAAATTAATATTTGAATTTTTTTTAAGAGAATTGTATTGTATGTATGTATTTTGCTTTTTTCGAAGTCTCAAATTTAAGTTGTTGAAGTGGACAATTTTATTTTATTTGTTTTTTTCTTTTTTTTTTGTGGAATTTATTATCATTTTGAAAATATTTTATTTTTGGTAATTGAAAGAACACTTTATTATTTTATATATATAAATATATAAGTATTAGAAATTATAACAAGATTATCTTAAAATACTGATTATTGTATTTTTTGACCAGATGGTAATTTTAAGTCTTTTTTTTAATTACGTAACAAATATTTTTTATAAGAATTAATATATGAAATTTAATGAAATTTTATAATGAAATTTATTTATGATTAAATTTTGTGTATGAATTTTTATATAAAACGGAATGTTAATTAATATAGTTTTAGAATTAAATATAAAAAAAAATTTAATATTTTTTTTTTAAATTAATATAAAATTGATTGTTATTAAATTTATATAAATATCAGTATTTATATAAGAATTAGAATAATTTTTTATTTTAAATTTTAAAAACTATAACGAAACCCATATAATGTATTTTAATGTTTAACCAAATTAAAATTAAAAAAAAAAATGTTAGTTAAAGTTATTCTTTTATATATACACATGCATACATACATAAATCCATGCATAAATATATACATGTAATAGGTATTAAATAACTGCAAACGATTTTAATTAAATTTTAATTAAAATATTTTTTTTTTAAGAAAAAAACCGATAAGCTTATAAAATATTTGAAATAAAAATGTTACCATATAACCATATTACCATATAAGTATTTATGTATATTATGTGGTCTGTTGGTGCACTTTAATTTGTAGATTGTTTTTAGACTTTATAAGAAATTTAATTAATTATGTATATTAAGCTCAAATTGTACTATTAAATTTGTTTTTGATATGAAAATTTTAAATTTTTATATCATTTTTGACAGAATTTAAATTCAAATAAAATAAATTAAAATTATAATACGAACTATAGAATTACAATAAGACATAAAAAAATTAAATTTGTGGCGCAAAATTATAGAAGAAAGAAATTTTAAATAAAAAAAAAATAATTTTTGTCAAATTAAATCAATGCATTTTCCCCGTTTCATCGTTTTTACAGTAATAAAATTTGAAACAAATTTATTAATATTTAAATATTTATATTATTATCATTATTATTGGCATAAAATTGATAAAAATCAATTTATTATTAATACAGTTATTTAAAGTCAAGTTAAAATATATGTATGTATGTATATAAAAGGTTAATAAATATAATTTGGAAAAATATAGGTAATATACAAAAACTTTTTTAATTAATTTTTATTTAATAAATTTTCGTAGATAATTTTCATAATGTTATGAAGTCTTAAATAGTAATGATTTTCAAAAATAAAATGTAAACTTAACAAATAATATTATTTCAATATTTTTTTTGTTGTTTTTCTTTTTTTTTGGATTATATAACATTTATGTAATCAGTATTGAAGTAGATAATAATAATGTTCTAGTTTTTTTTTTCATTTTTTGTTTTCTGTAGATATAATAATAAAGAAATTTTGTTTTTGTATATATGCAACTTAATTTTTGGGAAAGTCGTAATTAAATTATAGATATAGAAATTTTGAAGGTTTATATATATAAAAAAAAAAAATTGTGAATAAAGATTTATATATTTTTTTTTTTATTTTATTATCACAGCAATTCGGAGCTTTTAGGCACTGAAAACTAGAATCAAACAACGAATATCCAATTATACAATCCTCAAGATGAAAATCATATTTTAATTAATTATTATTATATAATATTTTAATAAATCAAGACTTTTGAAAATTGTTGAAAATTTCTACCAATTTGGCCATCTTCTATAGAATAAAATAAAAAAAAAAATAAAAATTGTTATGTCCTTTCATTTCAATTTCGATTACGCATTCCAATGTTTTTTAAAGTCTAAAAATTTTTTTTTTTTATTTTTCATTTGTTAATTGATTTTTTTTTTGTTATATAATATATTGTGCAATTATTATCTTTATATTCTCTTATTTTAATTTTAAATCCACTTAAACTTATAAATCAACGTATATATTTTATAGTTATAATTATGTGTATATATATATATGTATATATATATATATATATATATATATCTTTTGTTTTTTAATCGCAACAATGATTTTTTTATTTATTTTTTAAATTTAAATTGTATGTTTTATGACAATAAATTTTAAGCCTAAAATCTTAAAACATGTGCTTAATTACTAAAATGTTGTCATAAATTATAATTAAATATATGTATATAATAATAATGTATATTAATGATTATTTTATAATTATTTTTTTTTTGTTTCAATTATTATAATTGTTTGATTTTAAATTTTATATATATATATATTTTTTTTTCTTATATTATATACAAACAAATTTGAATTGTAATGGATTTAAATTTTGGGGAAAATAACTGAAACATTAAATTTGATTTTTAAAAGGCATAACACACATTACATAATAAATAGGTATGTCTATATATGTATATAATACAATAATATTCATGTATAAATTTTATAAATTGGGAATATAATATTATTTTTAACAGCAAACAAAATAAAATATGCGTGTATTTATTAAAATTATTTTGATTTGCAATAAGCTTATAAATATATTTAATAAAAGAGGTTATTAGTGGTAGTTTCGATAGTACTCGTATATATTTTAAAAATTTTATAATTATAAACAAAATTTCTTGATCAAGTTTCAAAATTTTGAAAAAAAAAAAACAAATAAAGTAAAAAAATTAAAAAAAAAGTAAAGCACAAGTGATAAATTAAAAAAAATTTAATACGTATTTAAAAATTAAGTATTCAATTTTTTTAATTTATAAAATTTCTTAATCTACGTATGAAGTTAAAAGTAGAATATGTATGTATATAATATGTAAAAAAAATAAAAAAAAAAACTAAATTTTCGATTTTCGATATAATAATTGGGATTTTCGATAATTCAGTTTTAACTTAGATTTTAACATAATATTCAAAAAATCCAATCTGTAAAATTTGCAGAAATAGCATGTTCGAAAAATGATAGTTGTGCTTAAAGTTCTAATGGAATTTTTAAGTTTTTCATTAACTACTGCAAAAATATTATAAACTGAAAGAAGAGAATAATAGAAAAATGTTGAATATTGAAGAATAACTCGTTTATATTACAAATCTGCAAAAGTAAAATATTCAATTTGTGCAGTTTTGTAAGTATGTATGTAGTACTTGATATGCAGTAAATTTGATTATAAAGTAATACTCAAATTGCTAAACAAGTAATTTGTGAAAATACAGTAATGTTTTAAGATGAATTTTTGTAAATTATAATACTGAAAACTAAGATTTAAAAAAACTTATCGCAATTACGCAGCTTTTTTTTACTACTTCTAATTAAATTTCGGAAGATTTAGAAGAATTATTAGAGTAATTTTTTGTGTTTTCGTTTTAATTTTTTTTTTATTTAATATATATATTAAATGAAATTGAAAATGATGTATTAAATAATTTTTTTAATTGAAAAAAAATACGATTGTGAAGCTTTTGAGGTTTGTTTTTCTCCTGCTAAAGTTAATTAAGTTCTAAGTTAAAAATGTTAACGTAAACTGCATTTTTAAAAACACCCTGTGGGTAAAAAAACTTTTTAAGATTTAATTTTAGACTTTCAATGCATATCTGAATTATCGAAATCACTGATTTTTCTTATTTAATTCAATTAATTTAGAATTAATTTGTAATAGAAAAAAAACAAAAGAATTTTAACCATTCATAAAAATATTTTATTTGAAATTTTTAGTATGATGAATATAATTAAGTATGATATTTTATTATATTTGTAATTTAGTTCTATTTTATCACAAGCAGCTTTGAGAAAAATCTATTTTATATTTATTGGAGTTTCAAAGAAAAATATATATATTTTAACCTTTAATGTACGAGGTAAAATTTTTTAACAAATTTGTCGAGTTAGTAATTATTATTACAACACTTTCTCAATTTCAGTGTAAGTGTTTTATTCATGATAACAAAATTAACATTGAGTAAGAGAGTTTAAAACAGTATGATGGTACGATGTAGAATATGAAAGTGTGGAAGAGAAATAATTATAAGGGAGCAATTACAAAAGAAAAAGCAGAAAACATAAAATTTACTATCACCTCTTCGGTTAAAGGTTAAATATGATTATACGATAGGATTCAAAATGAAAATATGCGATTTTAACAAAAATAAATTTTTTTTGAATTAATGTATTAATAAAATGTAATAATGAATATGAAATAAGATTAATAGAAACTTCTCTATATAGCAAGTATTTGTATGTATGTATTGTATATAAAAATATAAATTGTTTAATATAAATTCATTGAAATTCAATTTATACGGAAAATCTTCTTATATTAGAATTAAAAAAATTTATAAAATTAAAAAAAAGGCATTATTAAAAGAATAAGTTTGAAAAATTTAAATTATTTTCATAAAATATTG